CCTGTTGGCCATGAACGTCCACCAGGACGAGGTGCTCTGCTGCTTCTGCCTGGGGCAGGTCCCCCTCGGCCCACCTTCTGGGGACATGTGGGTGGAGCTCCGCACAGTTTGCTCCTCTGTTCCTGGCCCTCCAGGCCACAGACTGTTTTGGCCGAGGTTGGAAGAAACCTCAGTGAACACCTTCCTTCACAGCAGAGGCCCTGGGATGACAGAATCAAAACCACACTGCCGGTTCTGTGTTAAGAATTGGCGTGTGGGAATGCCGTGGAGCTGGCTTCTCAGAGCTCGGCTCGCTGTGTGACCAAGAAAATGGAGCTGGGCTCCGTCTGAGCGTGTGACTGTCACTCACTCACGCCCTAATCTCTAACGCTGGGTCCTGGGCAGCAACACTGACAAACTTTTTAGAAATGTATGGAAAACTACGTTCAAGACTTGGTGAGTGAAAGCAATTGAACATTACTTTAAAATGAGTACTAGTTTCTGATCGTTTTTTCTACAAAAATTGCCCTCAAGAACACCTTTAAATTCCCATCAACAATGTAAGTGGTGTCCTGCTCGGCTGCTAGGGAGCCCCCTAAGGGTCCCCCAAAGCCTGTGGTCCCCAGGGCCTGAAGGCATTGGCAGCGCTGCAAATCTACCTGCTGCAGCCTGGGCCCCAAGGAGTGCGATGGCCACCTCCGGACAGGTGGGGACAGGGCTGGGATGCTGCCGTGAGGTCACTCAGGTGAGCATCAAGCAGGTTGAGGGGTGGAGGGGAGCAGGGGCAGCAAGACGGTCTGCGGACTTGGGGCTGCCCTAGTCCTTTCTCACCGTTTGCTTTCTATTGCATAAAACCCAAACCTGAGCCCCGTTCCATCCCATGTTGCAGTCTCCTGGAGGAGGACAGGGGCTCGGGGCTCTGGACAGCAAGCGCAGGAGTCCTGGGCGCAAAGCCCTGGGCGCTGCAGCTGCATCCCGGGGGGCCCGGGGAAGCCAAGCGGGATTCCGTCAGGTTACTTTGTAAGGTTAAACAGAGACTTCTTTATTGTGCTCAGGTAACTGAAATTTCCTGCGTTCAAGAAAAACTGGTCTGCTTAGGATCCAGCTCCTTCCCCGAGGTTTGGGTGGCATTTAGGAGGAGGGACTCTACTGGGGGTGGAGACCAGGTGGTTAAAGGGTACAGGGAGGGGCACCGCTGAAGAGCACAGACAGCTTCTGATGTCCTGTAACACAGGGCAACCATGGTTGACAAAGATTAACTTAATATTTCAAAGCAGCTAGGAGAGGCGCTGGGTGAGGTGGCGCATGTCTGGAAACCCAACTACTTGGGAAACTGAGGCAGGAGGGTCACAAGCTGGAGCAAATTAGCAAAACCCTGTATCAAAACCAAATACTGCAGGAAACCAGTCTGCTAGGAAAGCCTACCTGCAGGGGGCGGATGGAGACTAAAGACCTCAAGGGCGCACTAAGTGGGGTGGTTTTCCTGTAAAGGACACAGCTCCATGCGGAGAAAGTGTCAGGGGATGTAACAGAGCCCTGGCTTTGAGTATGCCCCAAACCTTCTCCTGCTTGACCCCAACTTCCTACACTAAACGTGCCCGTCTGGGAAGCCAAGGGTGATGTTTGCTAACGTCCTGTACGTGTGAGAAAGCAGCTGACTACTGACTTGAGCATGGCCTGATGCAATGGAATTTCCAATACACTCTAAAGGGGTATAATGCTGTACTTCAATGAATTCCGCCCCATGACCTGGCTGAGAAAATTCTGTGTGTGTACTCACTTTTGCTTCCTTTGCAGCTGGCTGGGCTCCGCTCCCTGTGCAGCACCCTGTCACTGACTCTCCGTGCCTTCTTTCTGATCGGCGGGCCTTCCCCATCAGGCCCCCATTCAGGCTCCACCTGTAGGACACCAGCCTCCTAGGGATGCCTCACTGGAGGAGCAAGTGGAGATGTAAGACAAGACAGAGGGAATTCTGAAAGAGGGGCCAGGGGCTCTTGCCTCTAGTGGACAAGGAGCCCTAAACATTTGGTGCACTTGCTCTTGCCTACTTAGACACGGGAGCAAGCAATCAGGGTAGAAGACTCATCTGTCTCCTGTTATACTTCATACATACCCAGGTAAGCAACCAGATCCCAGCTGCGCTGACCTTCCCCGGAATGCGCCACCTGCCAGCATGCCTGTGCACTGCCGAAGGGGCACAGCTTGCCCCTTTCTCCTTTGGGCTCACAGACGTCAGTCAGGCCCCGTCCTCATTATCTGCTCTCCTACAAAATAAAGGAAGGGGCCAGGGACAGAGCTCAGGGGTGGGAGACCCACCTAGGGTGTGCCAGGGCCTAGGTCCCATCCCTAGTCCTGGGAGAAAAATCCCTAGCAGAGGGGATTTTGAAGTTCCCAAGACAAACACTAGTGATCTGCTGTGACCTGATCTGGACACCGTGCCCACGTGTTGAAATACTCCACACTTCCGTACAATACCATATGCAGATTAGAAACAAAATGTAGGAGGGCGGGCCCCCAGCGCACGGGGAGCCTCGGGCGGGAGCGTTGGTCTTCGGACCAGCGACTCACTCCCGGCCTCCTGGTTCCCCGGAAGGAGGGCTTCTGGCACACAGGGAGCTGCGGGTGGGGAGCGCCAGCCTTCTGGCTGGCTAGCTTCCTGCATGCTGGCTCCCGGAGGGTGGGCCCCCAGCGCACAGGGAGCCTCGGGCTGGGAGCGCCGGTCTTTGGACCGGCGACTCACTCCCGGCCTCCTGGTTCCCCAGAAGGAGGGCTTCCAGCACACAGGGAGCTGCAGGTGGGGAGCGCCAGCCTTCTGGCTGGCTAGCTTCCTGCATGCTGGCTCCCGGAGGGTGGGCCCCCAGTGCATGGGGAGCCATGTGGCTCAATTGGGATCTATCATGACACAGAGAAACAGTGACACAATTGGCCCACCATGCATCGACTGCAGTTGCCCACCCACGGATGTGTGTGAATCATTGAAACTTTGAACAACCCCTGGGAATATATGCCATACAATGGGCCACTCTTGCTCCTGCCATTGGGAACCAGAAAGGTCCAGAGCCAGCGGAGGAGCAGCTGCTGAACAAGGACTCAGAGAACATGAGAATGCAGACTAAGCCCACAGAGTCAGAGGTCCAGTGTAATGGGGTCACGAGAGCTGCTCGCAAGCTGTAAACCAGGAGGACCTTGCACAATACCTGCAGAGACTCATTGGAAGCCATTCTTTCCCTGACAGTACAGGCTGTGGTGAAGCTCAGGAGAAGTCTGCAGCAGGATTCCTGCTGCCTGTGCTGACAGGTGGGGAGAGGACACTAACTGGTTGTGGGATCCCAAAGCAATGGGAAGCTGGAGAGAAAAAGCTACAAAGAATGGCTTTCACCCCAGATAGCTCACTTGAGATGTTAGTAAGAATTGCCTCCTCAGTATTCTATAGCCATGATGAGGAGGCGGCCAAGGAGAGAAAACAAAGAGACTGAGAAAAAGCAGCTGCTTTTGCTGCACCACTAAGAGAAACAGATCCCAGGTCTGATTCCCGGGGCTCCAAGAACTCGACAACTGCATTCATCTGCTACCACTGTTAAAAGCCAGGCTACCTCAAGAGGAACTGCCCTAAGAGGCCCCATGGGCCATGCCCTGGATGCAAAGGAGACCACTGGAGATCGGTCTGCCCTCTGAGGTGGAGGCCCCAGAGCTCAGACCCATGCTACCAGTTAGTCCAACAGGAATGAGAGGGCTTGGGGCATGGTCTGCCTTCTCCCTCTGTCCAGACTGTCATCTCCATCGAGGAGTCCTGGGTAATCATGACTATGGAGGAACAAGAAAACAGCCTGTTGCTAGACACAGGTGCAAGTCTCTCTTTTCAATCCTGGCCTTCCTTCCAGCCATCATACCTCAGTGAAAGGAGTCACTGGTGAGGAGGTAATATGCTATTTTTGACAACCCTTAGGCTGTAGCTACTTATTAGATCCTTCTTGCATATCTGTCTTCCTGAGAAACCACTTTGAAGATACCACCACGTATTACAGCAGCCATTGATATTTTCCTACTAATCTATCCATAACTGTGTTAAGTTTGTAATGTTCCTATCCTATTTCATAATGTATGTTTATTATTATGTGTTTCCTACAACAACCATTGAGAATAGCTAATGATTTTTCAATAGGTCACTCATGTATAGCTCTATTTATTTTCTTTAGAAGCCACTTTGAAGATACCAAAGTATAGCACAACAACTCTTGATAATCTCCTACCTCTTGTCTCTAGCTCACTATTATTTGTCTATTTGTTTTCCTGAGAAACTATTTTGTAGATAATAATATGTAAAAACGATAACCATTGATAATTTCCTACCATTTTGTCTGTAATTTGCTAAGTCCCCCCTATTATTATGTTATCCTTCTTTTATTCTTTAAAATAAAAAAAAATAAAGAAACAAAATGTACATTCAGTCCAGAAAGGCAGTCTCTGACGCGGCGGGGCCAGCACGCACTGCATGCCTTGGGCATCTCTGCGCTTTGGGCTCACGGGCGCCCCCGCTGGCTCCGTCTTCAATGTCACCCTCCTCCAACTCCTGCATATGCCTGGCCGGCCTGCACGCTTTCCGCAAGTGTCCTTCCCTGAGGTGCCGTCCTCAGCTCCGTGGCCCGAGTATCCCGGTGTCCCCGGGAGCCACCCCCCTCCAGTCCCCACATACTCCACTGTCACAGCGGATTCTGTGCAGGGACCCGGGCTTCCACTGCAGCAGAGCCTTGGCTCAGGCTCTGACAAGTCCTCTTCCTGCCTGTCCTCCTGTCATTCCTGCCTGCCCCCTGCCACTGCCCAGACCTTGCACAACCAGGAGGATGGACTTGAGTCCAAGGTCCCCAGGCTGGAGGACAGCATGGCAGACCAGGGCGCAAACCGGAAAGAGCCTGGGCCACCAGTGGCGGACGGACGCTGGGGAGAAGCACGCTCTGCGGGGCCTCCGAGGACAGCATCACACTCGCACTGGTGTTCCATGCTGCTGTGAACAAATTCATAACTCACATTTCATTTTTTTATTAAAATATGTTTTTGTTTCTAAAGCCAACAAAGAACACATACACACTTTTCTACATGGTAAGTCATGAAAAATACAGCGAACACAGACTCTGGGGTGCGGAATAGATTTTAACAGCCTTCAACGACACTTTCATAAAGGGAAACTTTAAAATATGGCTTGTGCTGATCATCTAATTTTCCAGAAGGTTTTGTTTCTTTTCTCTATTTTGATGCCATTCTGATTTACAAATATTTGTTCTAATAGTCTAACAATTTTGCTTTCTGAAACTTTAGAACTGTATTTCTGCATAAAGACCTCTCTCATGGAAATAGACATTAGATTTTATTTGAATGATCATTTGACTTGGTGACAATTATGAACACAGCTGCAGTGATAGCGTTCTGAGGAAAAACACTGGAGCACCCCTCTGGCAAGCAAATAACAGGAAAGGTTTTTTATGCATCGCTTCTACAGCGCCCACTGACATAAAATCTAGTGTGTTGGGGTCTGATCACAATACAGGTAACAATCTAATTTTTTATTAAAAGAAAAAGGAATTTTAAACAAAGCTTCAATATAGGAATGAATATGTTGGAATGATGAGGGGTCCACATTCCGGTGAGGCAACTAGCTTCTCAATGTGTTATTCTCAGTGTGGAAAAAGACTGTCATTCAGGACCTTGAATGCATTTCAGAACTGGAAATGGAAGCTTTTAGGTGAACTCTGTCTTTTTCTCAACCTATTAGTATACTAGGGGAAATAAATTTAAATATGAAAGCTCATCCCGCTGGGGATAATTTCTAATGGGAGAAAGAGGGTAAGGGAAAAGCAGGTGAAGTAATGTGGTTTAAGAAATTGCCCACTGTGCAATTTGAGGAGTGGAAAAGAAATACTGAATCTTTAATAATGAAGATCTTAAAAACCATAAATGCAGTTACAATGTTTGCTACCAGCATGAAGAAAACACTACCAATGTTGCCAATACACAAACACAAACAAATTATTCCTCCATTCATAGGTGTCAAATTAGCCGTAAACTAGCAGGTTGAAATGATGCAGATTCCTTTAATATTTCCTCTCCTTGAGTTCAAGAAACCCCTGAGCTCTCTAGGTGCTGATGGGGAAGAGCTAGAGTTTGAAGGCGCTTTCATGAGAGGCACTCTAGGTAAATGAGAAAGGACACCCAACATTTTCCTACTAAAATAACTTCCATGAGCTAAATCACAGCTTCCTAAAAGGCTAATGTACCTTGAATACTCATTAGAGTTATCTGAAAGAGAAGAAGGGTTATCAGGCTTTATATTTTATAATAATCCTACTATCTCAAATGATCTAACTAGTGCTCAAATAATAGTACAAAACATATCCCAGAGCATTATCTATTTCATAGACTAAAATATGTAGACATACAAAGGAGTGTTCCTAAAAAGTTATTTGTCACTCAAAAAGCACTAGAAAACCCAGCAATTTTGTGAAACTAACTCTACTGTCATATAAATATGATTTCAACTGGAGCGAGACGAGTGGGACACAGAGCTCGGGAGGCTGCCGGACATGGCCGGCGGGGTGGACGAGGTGGCTCTGTGGTATATTCTGAGTGGACATCATCCTGAACAGATTTTCTTCCAATTTCAGAATCTGAACTTCCCACAGTGCAATGACACTTGTCTAACCAGAACATCAGATCCAGATATAAACTCAACAAATGAAATAACAACAGCCAGCACAATTTGTTTTCCGTTTTGGCTCCCGGCACTGTGCCCGGCCCTGTCCCTCTCCACGCGTCTCCTCCCTTGGCCCTGTCAAGCCTCTGCTGAGACCTGGGCTGCCTGGCTGGCCAGCCGCTCACTCTGCCGCCCGCGTGGTGTTTGGGCATAGCATGCGGCAGGGATCCCCAGCCCAGGGCTCTGCAGCCGCCAGTGAGTCCCCTGCGGCGCACCTGAAGGCCCTGGCAGCGGTGACTCTTCAGGCGCCACAGGCACTTTGGGTGGGCGGGAGAGGAGGGGACACGTTCCCTACAGCGGTGACAGCCAGCATGCTACAGGAGGGATTCTGCCATGTGAGAGTCCGCAACTGCAAAACACAGCGAGCACCTGCTTTCTAAAACCGACTGAGAGGGCTTGAGAGTGGAGTTTCCACGGGGGTCAGCGAGAGTCTGAGTCCACGTTTACAAAGCAGCGCGGCCCCTGGCCCAGCCGGGAGACTGCGCTCAGAGATGCGCAGGCACAGGCCGTGACTCCCGTCCCGGGCGCCCGCTAACACTCTGACAGCAAAAAGCGTTTGGACGCGAGAGGAAAATGGCATCAGGCTTTCCACCGAAGCCTCGGGCATTTCCGGGGATTCTCTGCACATCCGCTTCCTGCCTGGCCAAACTGTGCTCGCACTCCAGGGAGGTGGTGCATTGCTAGTGGGCAGGAAAGCCCGGAAGTCCGGGTATAATCACGGAACTTAGCACATTCGTGGCACGTCGTACTTTAGAAGGCACTCATTCCAAGTCCTCTACCTGTCAAGCTCTCTGGCACCCTAACGCCACCCGTGGACTGAGTAACTTTACCCCTCTCTGTGCTACACCGCTGGGGCTGAATCTCGTTCCCTCTTCTAGAACATGCAGTTCATGCACTTGACGGTCTTGCTGCCATAGTCGATGCACTCGGGCCCGACGCACTCACAGCACGCGTTGTGGAACCAGCGGTACTTGGAGGCGCCCATGGACTCGCAGGAGATCTTACACTGGTGGATGGACATGCAGTCATCGAAGTAGACCACCGTGCACATGTGCTCTGCAAGACAAACGCGACCATCGCAGGGTGAGGAAGGACAAACGGGAAGTGCCCCGTTACCCAGCTCGCCGGGAGGAAGCTGTCTCTGCACTCCTCGAGGGCTGTGCAGGATGAAGGGGAGGGAGGAGAGGGGTCTGATTCTTACATGTGAGCGCTCCCACTCTGGGGGAGAAAGCAAAGCGCCCACAGCTCAGACTGCTTCTAACCTACAGCAGAGCTGTGCTGAGGAGGGACCGGGGCCTGGTGCGTGCCAGGCTGGGCGGGCACTACTGCCCTGAGCTGTGCGATTTATGCTGAGCATTTCTGATGAGATTTCCTACAGTGAGAGAATTCTCCAGCCAAAAGAGTCTGAAGGATACAATTCTGAGCTTACTTTGAGAATTTACAATAAAGCCAACCGAACTCCAATCATCTTAATGAGGCACAGCGAATGGCAAGGCTTGGTACCGATGTGGGCTGCTAGGAAATACTCTCATCACTAAGGAGTTCCCAGTGCTCCTTTCCAACAAGACAATCACGCCGGTTTGTAAATCTCCTGGTGGTTAACCCCAGTAAGACTTCCTACCGAGGAGTCCAAGGCACATGAAGTAAGTCAAGGACGGTGCACCAAACGAGAGCGTATGCTTCCAGGTGAAGTTATTTTCATAGAACTGTTTACAAAATCACATGGGTCTGAACAGCAAGGAAGGCTTCATGGGAGAACTGAAAGCCGAGGTCCGGCACCGGAAGAGCAAAGTCCAAAGCGGGTGGGTGGGTGTGCAGGGCAGGGACAGGGGCAGGGGCAGAGATGAGCCAGACTGTGGTGGACCACAGGGCACTGCAGGACCACCAGAGAAGACAGATGAGACCTGGTTAGAGGAAGCCTGGCAAGGGCTGTGACACCAGGCCAGGGAGACAGGGGCTGTCAGTGAGCGGGAAACCGGTGCTGCCAAAGCCCCTACACCCACTTCACCCACTGACTCATGAAGTGGAAGGTTGCCAGGTGACCCTGACAGAGACTCAGAGTAATCAGAGTCAGGAACTACATAGAAAAAGGGAGACCTTGAGCTGAAAGCAGACCGCAGTGTCCCAGGGTGGGAGGGGCAGGTGTCAGAGGCCAGCTCTGGCCTGTCTGCAAGGGAGCCAGCTTCCTGCTGGACCTTCGGGAGCCTCCGAACTCTCCCAGGAACTTCATGAAGGACCACAGAATACGGACGACGTTGGTTATTCACATTTTAATAATGGGGAATGGAAGCAAAACATCTCAGCACCACAACCATATATTTCTGATGTTTTCCAAAACCTAGAAACCGTTTTATGCAACACTTTATTCTAAAAGGAAGTAAGAATTCTTACTCTCATGTAACAAAAGCTGTTTTGCTTTGACTATTCATGCTCCGCAGGCACTGTGCATGGCGCCTGACCCTGAGCGACCTCGCGCGGACAGGCAGCACTGGTGCCAGCTCCTGGAAGAAGCTGGCCAACACCGAACTCAGGTGGGGCTCCTGTCTCCAGCCGGGAGAGCCAGGGCTCCAGGCAGTTACTGACAAGCCTCCTCCTCTACTGGGGTCCGGGGATAAAAACCTGGAGCTTTCTTGAGACTGCAAATTCAAAGCAAGGGTGCCCTAAGACACCTGCTCCGCGTTCCCTAGAGCACAGAACAGAAGTGAGGGGCAGAGAGGAAAGTTACCTTTGTCGCTGGAGTAAGGCGCGTGAACGTTGTTGCTGGGGACAGACACGTTCTGGTGGTGGGGCTGGTTCACAGTTTCCAGGAAAGAAACCAGATTCTCATGGTGCGAAAGCTCCTCCGCGACGGGGAAGGACACGATGTTCCAGTTGAGCTGGGTGTCTCCCTCGGTGAGCGCCCGGAAGAGGGAGGGGATGGGCTCGTGCAGCTCCTCCACGGTGCTCTTGGAGGTGGGCGGGGTGTCGCTGTAGTTCCGAGGGTTGCACATCCCTGGGGAAGGCAGAGGCAGAGGTGACATCGGGGGCTTTGCTGGCTCCTGCCATGCACTCAAAGCACCAACAGATTAAAGCCACGTAGCTCCTCACATTACACATTACGCATGGGGCTTCCCAGCGTCTTTGCTGAGGGGGCCTAGAAGGGCCAGCGCCACCTCTAGCGGCGTGGAGCACAGCAGAGAGCAGGTCCTGGCGAGGAGCAGGTTCCAGCAGGCAGGCTGGTAAGGACGGCTGGGGATGCTTCTCTGGGCTGCGGCGTGGTGGGGAGACAAGGGCACAGCAGAGATGGGAATCATCTGGGGGCACCCACCCACCCACTGCTCCGCATGAATGTGGTGAGGGCAGGATTAGCGCCCTGAGAAAACAGGGCCCAGGAGCGAAGGAGGCAGAGAACAACCCGCTGGGCAAGGCAGAGTGGTGGGCGTGGGGTCACCGAGGGCACGAAGGTGGCTGAGCGGGGCAGCCTGGGCCCTATTTAGCTCCCACTGTGCTGACCCCCTCTGCGGGCCGGGACTCAGAGCAACAGGAACTGCAACAGACCCTCTGGGCTCCCTTCCTGAACTCGATCCTTTCAAACTTCAGGCTGGGCGTGGTGGCGCACGCCTGTAATCCCAGCACTCAGGAGGCTGAGGCAGGAGATCACTGAGAGTTTGAGGCCAGCCTGGGCTGCATAGTGAAAACCTGTCTCAAACCAACCCCCTAAAAAAATTTTTAAATTAAGTTTCATTTTTGTTCACTATCTATTAGATCTAACATGTAGTTACATGTGTTCTTCCAACTTACAGGTTTGAAAAATTCAACCAAATTTCTAAGTTCCTAAGACTTATAAATTCAGGGAGGAGAAACAAGTCTCATTTTTCTCCACATTGTTTTAAGGAACACAGCAAGAGCTAACGGGGATACATTTCTCAATACATCAGTACTTTAATAATCACAGTGTATCGAAGAGCCACGGGTTCATGATCAGACCTGACCCCTCTACTCACGGGCCCAGATAAATTACATGGCGTGTACCTTATGTAATCCAGGGCTAGAGCCTGCGTCCTGTCTGCCCCACTTCCTGGTGACCCCACTCCATAATAACCCGTATGTGGCAGGGATAAGCAAACACTGTTCGGGACACTTCTGTTACACAGGTAGATGCGCCGTGTTCTGCCCGAATCCACGATGAGTGGAAATGTGTGACCAGAGGTGAGAACCGCAGCCAATCCAGAGCTTAGAAGGGCTGACGCCAACACCTGCCGGAGACTTTACAGTAACAGTGGTGCTTTTCACAGAACTGACTACCCCAAAGTATTTTGAATTTTGTGCATTTCGAAAACTTAGGACGAAAATGTTATTTTAATTATGAAAAAGTGGTATTGGTAAATAATTCTTTCTTACAGCCAGCATCAGTTCCTGCTGAAGAGTAACAGGCACCAGGCACAGATGAAAGCTCCATTGTTCTAACAGGGTTCTGGGGTCACTGCCTCCCTCACCCCTCACTGCCTCATGAGGAGCTGGATGACGTGTGACCTGGGAGCAGCCAGGGGACGATGGTGACCAGCTCCCCCGATACCAGCCGGCTGGCTGACCTCAGGGAGGTCACTGACCTTCCCACCTCAGCTTCCGCATGCGCAGAACAGCGAGGGTAATCACAGCCTCCGGCTCGGAGTTTGTGGTGAGGGCCAAATGAAAGGTGCACGAGAGATGCTACACAAGGGTGAGCAATTATTCTTCAGTTTTTGCCATATTATTATTTTTATTTTGCACTGAGCTAAATCCCCAGCCCTTTAAAAAATAGATTATTTTTGAGACAGGGTCTAAGTCACTAAGTTGCCCAGGCTGGGCTCAATGTCACTTAATAAACTGTTAGGCATCAAACCAGTGACGCTATCTTATGAACCTGACTATTAAATGCTCCCCTCACTAAATACCGGTGCCGCCACATGGGAAAGCAGGAGACGGAAAACAAAACCTTGTAACGGAGTTAGCTGCTGGTTTTTAAGACAAAGGCACCAGAACAGCAAAAGATATTATCTGGAGCTGTGGAAGCAAAACATCCCTGAGTGCAGAAGGTCCCAGGGTACGGAGGAGGACAGGAGAGGCGAGCCGCTCCTCTCGTGACTGCGTGCCCCAACATACGCATGCGCACTCAGCTCACGCAGTAGAGCAGACACTAAGGTACAAGTGAGGCCACGCCCTGCTCTGGGGGTCTTCTTGTGGCTGTGTCTGGATGTCCCCCAAGGCTCAGGTGGGCATAGGTGGAGCTTTTTCAGGACTGGCTGGATCTACAGCGTGTGACTGATTCATGGTGCGATGCTGGGATTAAAGGTGGGTGATTACTAAAGCAGTCTGTGGACCGATCTGACACCACCCTCTCCCAGTAGCCTGGATACAATACAAGGCAAAGAATGAGGCTTGCCTTGCCTCTTGCTTGCTTTGCTACCTTCTACCCACCATGAACTGTTTCTCCGCTGCAATGCCGCTCTGCCATGGAGCCAGCCAACTATGGACTGAAACCTCTACAAACTGTGAGCTGAATAAAGCTTTCCCCCTTTAACTTTGGGTGTTGGGTATTTTGTTTCAGTGACTAAGACACTCCCACTGCAGGAGCCGTGCACACAAACCTGGCACATGCGTGCACACTGATCCTACACATATGTGGACACAGATCCTGCACATGTGTGCACAGGGCTCCGCCAACTCGGTCTGGTTGCAGGGCTCCGTGGAAGGTGGACACCACCCTGGTGTCCAGGGGAGAAGGCTGACTGCTGCGGGGACGGGGGCTCCCCAGGAATGGGCTGCGCATAGACCCTTGCTCTCAACAACACAGGCGACACGTGTGCACGTGGCCTTTCTACTAATGCAGAAATCTCTCAGATGCTTCTTATATAGCATGCTTTGTATCAGAAAACAAAAATGGGATTCATAAAAAATGCAAATACAAGATTTCAAAATAAAAAGTAACAAATTCTCCCTTGGTCTCCCCCTTTCTCCACCCCAAGGGTAAGCACTTTAAATCTTTTTTCAGATTTCTTCTGTAAAAATGGAAATACAGCGCAGTACAAGCAAGTGAAATTGTGGGGTTTTCTACACATACTGTGTCGACATAGGTGATCATTTATCGAGGATCCAATCCTACGAAACACCGAGACAAAGCCGGGCGTGGTGGTGCACGCCTGCCCTCCCAGCAGGCAGGAGGCTGAGGCAGGACGGCTGCGGGCCACACAGCGAGACGCGCCCCACTCACCAACACAGTCGCAGCACTCGTCCCAGAGGGCGCCCAGGCACAGCATGCACTCCTTGCAGCACGAGCAGTTCCCCTCGCCGGGCCGGCACTGGCACAGCTCCTAGACACAGGACGGGCGGGCGTCAGAGCTGAGCTTCCGGGAAACCACACCTCCACGCCGTGTAAGCGAAGCGCCAGGGTGTTCGCATTTGTAACAGCTCCTTCCCGCACAGCACTGCACTCAGCGTCGTTCACTAACGACCACAGCTGCAGGAGGCAAAGTGTACCTTTTCTTCTGGACACATTCGGTGAACACACAGTGAATGCTTTTAAGACTGTGAAGAAGGAAGACTTTGCATTTTATAACCTTTACCTTAAACCCTCCACACCGCTCAACACGAAGCTCAGTAGAAGACAAAACCCTGCTTTCCAGCTGTGGACTCACCGTGCGGGCCCAGCGGTAGGCGCAGCCCTTGCTGTCCGTGCTCGGAGGAGCACTGGCCTGGGCGGTGAGGGGAGGATCCCTGGATGCCCAGCAAATGCGCACATGTATGCGCGCGTGCGCACGTCATCTTCACTGACCCGTGACCTGTTACACACCATGCTTGTCTCACTGGATTATTTACAGAGAAGGTGGCAGTCGGCCTCCTCCCCTCCCCTCCCCTCCTGGCACTGTGGCGTCCATCCCCTCTGTGGGGACAGCTCTGCCACCAGGCTCTTCAGTTCAGGCCATCCTGCAATGCCCTTTGCTGGCAGGATGGGAGCAAGTGACTGCGGCGGTTCTGGGTCCAGGCATTGAGTGCACCCATGTTTCCCTCCGAACTCTGGCTGGCTGCCATGGACACCCAGGACACGGCTGTGGGGTGGGTCAGGCCACCTGAAGCACCAAGATCAGCAGCCTCCAAGTGGTCAGCAGCTGACGACCCATCCAGGGAGGAAGCCAGAGAGCCAAGTGCTCCTCTGTCTCAGGCCCCTGCACCGGCCCTGGCCCGAAGATACAGGGCCCGTGGGGTGCCGCTGTCTGGGCCACCACACTGGGTACAGCCCCCCCGACACACACAGGGACTGACAGGGACTCTGGACAGGGAACAGGCCAGTCCTACAGCCCCGGCCCTGCCTGGCCTCCTCAGACCCCCTGCTCCCTCCCAAACCTGACCCAGTGGGGATTCTGTCACCACAGCCTGCTGGGTTCTCTTCTGTCTCAGACTCCCTATATCTGTGTAAGAAAAACATTAGTATCTCACAGTTTGGGTGGCAAAACGGATCTCCCTCTCGGGCTCTGAAGGACCACAGTGGTTAGCTGGGCCTCCTTCCACCCACCACCGGAGCTCTTCTGGGACGTTCCCTTGACCACAGTCCCCGGTCTGGCCGAGGAAGAGGTTAACTACCCAAACAGCGGGTGCCACCTAGAGATACTCTGCCAGCCCTAACTTCCTCCCACAGGGCACCTCGTTTCTCAGTCTGCTGCCCTGCTGTCACCTCCACCCCGACTCGCTTCTGGGGCTCTGCAGCTGTGCAGGAACCATGTAACCGCTCTTCTCTGGGCTCTGACAGCTGGATCAAGCTCAGCCCCAAGACAGTGGCGTGGGCCCCAGGTCCCAAGGATCTGTTAGGAGCTCCAAGAGGAGACAATGGCAGGCAGCGAATGGGTAGACCACAAGCGGGCACTGGAGGGGACAGCACATGGCCACTTGGCCCTAGAAAGGCTCCAGCTCAGGGTCCAGTCCCTGGAGAGGCCTTGCTGTGACCACCGCCTGACAGGCAGAGACATTCTTAACCCGTAAGATAATCTTAGCAAGGGAGTGAGCTCAGCTATAGTCATTTCTAGCCGAACAAGCCCGGGTTAAAACAAAGCAATGTCTGCCTTTTATTCCCTGCCTGCACCTATTACAGCAGATTCTCTTGCGGCCTCTTCACGGTTCCTGGGACCCTGCAAGGAGCTCTGCTCCCAGATGAAACCGTGGCCATCATAAATCACCCCTGTCGTCATCGCCACTGTTCTTCAGGTAGGAGGAGCAGGGGCGGAGCGGGCTCTCCCCTCCTTGACACGCAGACTTTACAGTCAGAGTGGCCTAAAACTGGTTGGTTTGTTTTGGGTACAAACATGCTGTCAGTCAGTGTGCTACTTTCATACGATTTCAAAGATTACCTTCAGTAAGATTTTAAATGCTTTTAAAAGTGACTAATGGCATAAACCAGTTTCTCTGTCAGTACTGTGTGTTGGACACAGAATTTACCCTGATTAAATTCATCTCACGCACCTCTAGACTACAACTTTTCCCTCTTCAGAACTCTCATTATCACACACTCTGAAGAATCACTGACACTCTAACTCAGCAGTTCTGTGTGCTCACCTGTGACCTAAGGGGCGCAAGTACACCCGTGCCAGAGGCTTCTGCACCAGTGGGCTGTTCTGTGGCACACACCGGCCAACTCTGCCAGGCTCGGCAGAAAGCCTGGGGCGGGGATGCAGCTCAGGGGTGGAGAGAGGCCCTGGGCTTGCTCCTCAGCCCTGGACAAACTAATAGATCAAATAAAAAGAGAAAGAGAGACAAACCACAAGGCCGGGGCCTTACTGAGAAGTACAGATGCTTAGTCACAAACTGAAAACCTGGGGTGCAGCTGGGGGTACAGCACTCACCCAGCAAGCAGGAGCCCTGCCCGGCTCTGCAGAAAAAAAGGGGCAGGTCCTGAGTACAGTCCAGAAAACTGGGCTGCAGGGCTACACTGCACCACCAGAGTTAAGGATGCAGATACTGTTTGTCTCAGTTTTATAAAGGCTGCCCCTCAGTTGTAAGAAACTTTCTTAGTCACAAAAAATTTTAATTTACATTATGCATAGAAAATCTCTTTATTCTCTCCAATTTGGGGCAGGGGGCAGTCCCAGAAATCGAACTCAGGACGTGCTTGCCAGGCAGGTGCTTTTGCCACTGAGCTATATCCCCCTTACTCTCACAGTTGCTTGTCTTTATATTAAAGAGAAACAAATGAGAAAAGTAACACATTTATTCAAATACACTGTTTCTTTTTGCAGCTTCCAAATGGTAGCTCACTGAATGAATTACTGCATGTGATGCTGGACTTGAGGTCCACTTCCTGGCTTCCATTAGTAAGTGCAGTCCTTGGAGAGCATTTCACTGGCCACTGCTAGGTCTCTGGGGCCGTCTGACTGGGAAGGGGAGATAGTGTGGTGCGAGAGATTCCTGTTAACCAGTGCGACATGCAAGCCAGCAACCCGTTTCGTGGGTGACCTGTGCCTGGAGACCCCTGCCGAGTCACAGGAGCGCACACCTGGGGCCTCGAGCACTGACCATGACTCAGCGACACACAGTGACAGCCATCGAGAGAGACGGCAGGTGATTTTGGAAGCTCCATCCGTCCCTGTGCGATTGCACAGACAAAACCCCCGTCCGTGTTTAGCTGCGCCGGGCGTGGTGGCGCATGCCTGTGACCTCGGCGCTCCAGGCTAGCACCCAAACGCTTCGGCCCTCAGAATTACTGCCCAAAGTGGCTGGGTGCAGCAACAATATCCTTAGTGGTATTTTCCTTTCCACTTCACTAAAAAATCCTAAAGAACCTTTGTCTTAACAAAATTTAAACACATAAATTTTAGTAATTTGAGTAAACACACCGCCAAATGTACCCAACACTCCTGCTCTTTTGTACCTCACAGCAGAGACTGGGAAAAGAGCCTCACCTTTTGGTCTTCACTAGTGCCTTTCCTAGTTCAAAAACACGCTTGGGAAAAAAACCACACCTGTCACTTTGCCAGAGGAAGGTACTGTGTTGGCAACTTTAGTGGATGTTGAGATTTAGAATCTCCAAAGTCTCACTGCAAATCAAGAAAGCAAAAATGAGCTGGGCGTGGTGGTGCAGGCCTGTAATCCTAGCACTTAGAAAGCTGAGGTAAGAAAATTGCCGTGAGTTCGAAACCACTCTGGGCTTCATAGTGAGTTCAAGGCCAGTCTGAACTACATAGTGAGACCCTGTCTCAGGAAAAAAAAAAAAAAAAAAAAAAAAGGCAGCAAAAACGTACGTGCAGCATTTGCTTCGTGACTGTTTTTCAAGCAAGAGAGAGACCAAAGCAGTGACTTCTGCAAGAGCCACTGCAAAGGGCAGCCGAGGGGCTCGCTCTCATCCCCTCTCCGCACACTGCTCGAGGCAGACTGCTGAACAACGCTGGCCCCGTGAAGGTACCTGAAAGCCTGTGCTTTGTTTTGGCAGCAAGCCAACTGTGGTTAGGATGAACGTTCCTAAATATAAAAATCAGTTGCACAGTGCTCTGAACTCAAGTATTGGAAATACAAGAGAAACAACTCAAAATGTACCTGTGTTACATCAAGGGTTACACAAAAAACTACCCCTCTGTTTAAACCAACCAGACTTTTACTCAGGACACTTAAAATGAAAACTTCACCTTTGGATGTTTCAGCTATGAGGACAGAAATAAATCTATAATCAGAAAGACTAGAGTCAAGATAAAAAGAAACGCTTTGCCAGATGTGGTGGCACATATCTGAACAGTCCCAGCTATTTAGGAGGCTGAGACGGGAGTAGCCTGGGCAACAGAGTGAGACCCGAAGATCAAAAATATATACTTTTAATGTTATCTTAAATTATAAAAGACTCTGGGAAATGTCTACTAGAATAGAAAGGAAGGAATAAAAAGCCAGCCAAATTCCTCCCACTGTGGTTAATTCCTATGCATTTCTAACAAAATAATGATTATGTCTTTAAAAATAAGAATTTCACTGTCATAAAAAAAATCTGTTACTATAATTGAATAGCTGTATAATAGTACATCCTACAGGCCCAAATTCAGAAATAGCCCTTAAACTCTCGCCTGTTCCACCCCAGCCCACCTCCAGCCCTCACCTCCAGAACCACCAGCTTCTATTTAGTATCACTGTACCTCAAAGTCTCTGCTTCTTAAGCAGAACATGCAGTGGGCGGAAACATGGACTTCTCTTTGGACTGAGTTATTTATGTATTTCCCAAACCTCTCCATGACTAAACTTGGGTACCGCTCAGCTGCACGGAACATGTGGTCAAACCAAAGTGTTCACAGAAGTCCAAAATAAAGGCTGACTCAAAGCTTCCAACAACTCACTGCCTCCTCCT